CTCTGGCCCCGCCCCGGTCCTCGGGCCCCGCCCCTCAAGCCACTGGTTGCTCCACCAGCCACATCTGCACCATAACTTACATGAGGCTTTGGGGGGACAACTAGATAGAAATCATAACCCATACCTTCGCCAAACCTGTTACTTTCTAAAATTGCAATCAATTTTGATAAATAATTTACACCTCTGATTAAGCAGGGCTTCTCTTCCTATGCTTGTAGGCCGCTGGCTTGCTATGTCTGCGAAGCCCTCCCATCTCTTTCTTGACTTACTAATTTTAGCCAGTATTATGGGCTTCTTCTTATCAAAATGAAAAAGTTAGCACCCTTATGATATCTCTTATATCCTGTCTTTCACCATCTGTTTTTATTGTTTATTTTTAGCTCTTCAGTTAATTAATTTTATGTTGGAAAATAATCTAATTACATCTTCATCCACTTCTCAGCTTCGGGTTGCATGTACTGTGAGGACAGATAAACAAATGAAGATTTTAAATGTGTTTTCATTATTTTTTTCTTTCAAAGCCCAAGGTTTTCTGATTTCTTTTCAGTTTATAAACTCATACTCTCCAAATTCAATCAAACCTTTGTGGTTTCCTTTAGTCAACCTTCAAAATTAGACATCAGTAAGGTGGTTGGGTAACAGGTCCCAAAACACAGATGGAAGTAAGTTCCAGGGTTCCCCACACTGGGGTGACTGTAGACTTATGGCTGACTGCGTATTTTATGAAAATCTAGAGGAGAGAAGATGAAAGATGCCAAACAGAAAGCAACAATAAGGAGACAGAAATGGTAAAATTACCTTGATTTTATTACTGCATGCTTAGACATGGGTTGAAATATCTCACCTTACAGGGTGTACAGGGTTTCGCTATGTAGATCAGATTTATAGTGACCCTCCTGTTTTCAGGCTCCCAAACTCTGGGATTATAGGCGTGCACCACCACGCCCAGTCTTAATCACAGTCTCAGCACGCCCTGGGGGTGGGACCAGCTCCGCAGGCTGGGGATTGAACCCTGGTCCCTGTGCCTAAGCAGGCACTTTAGTCCACTCAGCTATCTGGCTGGCCCCCCATTGATATGTACAACTAGCACAAGTTAATACCTAAAAAGGTAGCATTTGATAAATAGCGAGTAGCATTTATGTAGTGCGTACAACAAATGCTGCGTGCCGCAGTGTACGTAGTGCGTACAACGAATGCTGCATGCCGCAGTGTACGTAGTGCGTACAACGAATGCTGCGTGCCGCAGTGTACGTAGTGCGTACAACGAATGCTGCGTGCCGCAGTGTACGTAGTGCGTACAACGAATGCTGCGTGCCGCAGTGTACGTAGTGCGTACAACGAATGCTCCGTGCCACAGTGTTACATTTTGTTTGGGCCAGCGGAGGAGGCGTGACCACTCGTAACTGAACACCCACTGGTGAGGTCTCTGCTCCTGGAGACACCTATTATGTTTCTGTTTTGTCTGTCTCTCTCTGACCAACAGCTGGGTTTGGATTTTGGCTTATTTGTTCTGCATCCATTGACCTATAAAATTTTGGAGAGCAGTGTTTCCAAGCCCTCTTCTTATTGCCAGCAGCCTCTTTTTCCTGAGCGTCCTCCCTCATCTGAAGATAAAAGCTCCCGCTGGCCTCACTCTTGCTTCCCGCCGCGCTGCTGTCTGTTCTCAGTGCCAGGTTTGTTTTCTGCCATAGCTGAGCAGCTACTGCCATGGGTCATCCTCCCCACACCTCACCCTCCACCCGGCACCCCAGTCAGGATCCAGGCAAGGCTGGGCTGGGCCAGGCGTTTCCACAAGCCGTGGATGCAGTGATGGCCAGGCATGCTGGGGTCGGGGGATCCACCACCAAGATCCCGCATCCCGTTGGCGTGGGCTGGACTCGCTGCTGCTGTGCTGAGCTGAGCTCACGTGGCTGCAGGGGAGAGGTTGCCCTGTGCTGTGTGTCCCCTGGCCCTGGCTTCCCTCAGAGCAAGACCACAGCAGAAGGCTGATGAGGCGGGAGCCAGAGTGTCCTGTGAGCTGATGCTGGAGGCCCCGTCCTCAGCCTTGCCATCTGTCGTAAGGACGTGCTGTCAGTGCGTGAACTCGAGGGCCCTTGTTTCACCAGGGGCACGCCCTGCACTGCTGGGCACTCCTACCACCTTTCCTTCCTTGGCTCTCCCTGGTGTCTGCGAAGTGTCCGAGGGTGTCCCGACTGCACCCACCCAGGCTGTCCTGCCCTCCTCAGGAGCCGTCCTAGGAGGGTGGCCTCCTCCCCTATGGCGGGCAAGTCTGGGATTGTGATCTGGGTGCCCTTTTCCTCTTTATTTTGGTGTGTGAAGAGGAATGTCTCAGACACCTGTCGGCACCGAGACGCGATGATCCCCACCTCCCACAGCCTGAAGAGAGAGAGAGTCACTGTGGCTCACAGCAGGCCAGAGCTGGCCACTCCAGGGCAGGAGGGTGTGGCAGAGGCGCGGGCGTGTGAGAGCTGCTCAGCCCCAGCACACTGGGAGCAGAACCTCACACCCCAGAGTCCCGCTAGCAGTGGAAACCTAGGAGCAAGTTCTGACTTTACCACGCTTAGCTGAAGCAATAGGCCCAAGCTGGCCTCCTGGGCTTAGGGCCTGAGGAGTCTAACCTTGATTCTCAAGTGCCGGTGTTGTGCTTGTTGGTTTGGATAAGAGACCTGGCCCCAGCGATCCTGTGAGCCAGGCCTGGTCTTGTGGCTGCTGGCACTGTCTGTGTGTGGCAGGTGTCCGACCAGCTAACACCTTACATGGTGACATTTTTCGGAGGCTGTGCTGGAGGCCACGCGTTGCCCATGCAGAAGACCTTGTGTTTCGTTAGAGGTGGCGGTGGCCTTCTTATTAACCGCTGCCCCTGGCCCTTCCCGCGCTCCCTGTCCCTCGTGGGCGGAGGCGTGACTAAGGGGCTTGACCGTAAGAAGTCAGCCGTGGGAGGAGCCGGGAAGGACGAGCTCCACTCTGTCACTGGTGGGCGCCCATTAAGCAGGCAGGGACGTTGCGTCGGGAGAGCTGGCCAGGCGGCGAGGCCGCTGTGTGTGCCCCTCGGGCTGGCACCACACGCGTGCTGGCCCGGGACTGACTGTGCCATTTCTGCCCGGGACTGACTGTGCCATTTCTCTGCAGCTATGCGGACATCTTGATCGAGAGGGAAGTGCTGATGCAGAAGTACATCCACCTCGGTCAGATCGTGGAGACGGAGAAGATCGCGGCCAACCAGCTCCGCCACCAGCTCGAAGACCAGGACACGGAGATTGAGAGGCTTAAGTCAGAGGTATCTCCAGGACGAGGTCCTTCCCTGGCTCCGGGGCTTCTGTCTTCTCCCCTGGTTGTCTGTGTCATGTTCAGGGCCGAGCTGCGATCCCAGGCTGAACTCCCGGGCCACCAGTGGGCGGGGCCAGGCTTCTGCCCGACAGGGACGCAGCCTGTGTCAGGCGAAGGGGGGCGCTGCGAGCACGGCGCGGCGAGCTGCCACCGAGGCCCTCCCTGTCTGACCTTCTGTGGAGCAGACACTCAAGCGCCATGTAGAGTGCTGAACTGTCTTCAGCTAACTCGAGATTAGCTTCTGTGACTGTCTCAGAGTCCATCGTATAAAAATGGAGAACGCAGGAAGGCCGGGAGCGATCGCTGACCTAAGAGCCCAGCCTTCCCCCGCGTTGTATGGAGCACACGAGGGCGCCGGGACATGGCTTCCCACCCCACCTGCCCTCCCCTCCTGTGCTCTGCACCCCGGAGAGGGAGGTCACAGAGCCTGGAGCGTGACACGGAGCCTGCTGCCCTGTGCCTAGGCCTTTGTCTGCAGACAAGGCTGGGTCCCCTTCCCCGTGTCCCCTTCCTCAGTCCTCGAGGAAATGAGCAGCCACAGATTTATCAGAGACCTCGGTGTGCGGCCAGGCCAGGGGGACCCCACCACTCACCACGTCCTGGGCGCAGGCAGGCGGGCTGCCCGGGCAGGGCCACGCTTCCTCCGGCATCATTCTCCCGTGTTCCCTCACACCTTCCCGGGAGCTCTGCGCCCATCACCGCCGATGCCTGGGCTGTCCTGCCCAGCCCACATGGAGTGGTCCTAGCCCTGCCACTCGGATGGGGTCACTCCTCACACTCCATCTGTGCTGCCAGCTGCGCTCACTGCGCCATTAGAGTTGTCACCTCCCAGCGCAACGCTGAGGCCCCGAGCAGGGGCAACAATAGCGGCAAACATGGCAAAACTGAGCTTTGTCAGTCTAAATCCAGCACTGTAATTTCAGATGAAATTACCATGTTTTCTTCTCTGCCGTAGGTGCGGGCGGGGGCTTGTATGGCAGAGATGGGGGCTGGCATATCCCCCCTGGAGTGCGCACCCCATACCATGTTCCCCAGTGTTCAAGTGTGTGCTGCTCTGTCTGCACTGTGTTTTACACAGAATACAGACTGCAGTCTCAATCAGCTGAGCAGGGGCATAGGCAGGGGCTGGGGCAGGGGCAGGAGCAGGGGCAGGGGCTG